TTCACATGTAGGTTGGAGGATTTTCCTACATCACCAACAAGCACAGCGAAACAGGAATTTCTGTATGTCACGTTGTCTTTAAATGACTTTCAGACAGAATGTAGTATAGTTGAAGATGTATGTAGTATAGTTAAGATGCATTTTTTGTGTATAGTTAACTAGTTTTATTATGAAATATAACTGATAAAATTTGAATCAGCATATAGTAGAAGTTTTGAACCATGTGTTTACACTTTTTATTTATTGACAGAATGGGGCTTGGGATTCTTTTGGTGCCTTCTGGTTAGTGTTGATCTTGGTAACTGCCTGGCCAAGTCTCTGTAGTTTTCCTGGCAAGATTTCAGACGTGGTTTGCCATTGCCTCCTTCCTAAAGCGGCAAATGACTGATTGGCCCAAGGTCACCCAACTGGCTTTGTGCTTAAGGCAGGACTAGAACTCATGTTTCGCTGCTTTCTAGCCTGTTACTTTAATCACTACACCAAACTGACACTTTACAGAATAGTTCGGATATTTAAAGTAATTTTCTAAATTTGTAACTTTTTAATCTCACTCATTGGCATGATAAGAATATTAAGAATACTGACTTTATTCTATGAGAATAATAAAAGATTAGTTCTGACTTTGCATTGATTACAAAGACTCTCCTGATGTTATACTATAGATTGTTATATTAAATGCTGTTAAAGTGTTGCAGCAAAAATTGTTACACATCACAGAAATATTTGATATAAATTCCATCCCAAAAATGTGCATGGAATATCTCATCTAAAGGAGCTTTTCTGTATACAATGAAAGCATTTACTGTATATTTAAAATATTTTCATGCACACAGTCGTGTTCCTGATAGCACAGGTTCTAAACAGATGTTGTCATTGCATAGCCTGATACCTCTCCTACTGGAATGGCATGGGAGGAAATGGAGGTCTAATCCTAAATAATAATTGTGTGACAAGATCAGGACTTTTCTGCCACACCTGAATAAGCTGCATATGTTATTGAGCAGCTTTGACTATTAAATTATTTGGTTAATTATATGCTATCAAGTCCTCATTGACTCATAACAACATAAATTGATTTGCTCCATGATAGTCTATCCCTAATCTGGTCTTTCAGTTCTTCTAACAGTACACTCATCATCAGTTTAACTGAATTAATCCACCTCACTACTGGCATCATCTTTGCTTTCCTTCTATCTTCCCAGCATGAGAACCTTTTCTAGAATACTGAATTTTCACATTATGTGTCCAAAGTATGATAATTTGAGCCTTGTTATTTGTGCTTTATGAGAAATCGGGATTGATTTGCTTGATGGTCCATTTTTTTGTTTTCTTGGATGACTACTCTTTGCCATCTGGTTCTTCAAAGTCCAACTTTTGCTTCTATAGAACATTACTGGGAATACCATTGCTTGCACTATTCTGATATTTGTAGATATAGATACATTGTAATATCTTTTCCAAGGCCTTCATGGCTACCGTTCCAAATGCTAATTTATGACATATTATTCTTTTACTGTTAATGGTTGATCATAGAAGGCAGAAGATATCTTTATTATCAATTTTAAGACTGATTGTTCTGTTTTCATTAGTTTGGTCTTTATATTTATTTTTAATTTGATTTTTCTCACACTGCTTGGCTTTTATTATTAGACCTTGCAGATAGTCATCAATATAGCATGAGTTATTGATGTTTCTTCTTCCAAAACTATATTCATCTTCCAATCCAGATTGCCTTAATCTATATTCAGCACATAGATTAAATAATAATTATACACCCTTATCTCACTCTTTTGCCAACCTGGAGCCAGTCTGTTTTGCCATGTTCTGTCCAGACCAGGGGTGGACAATCAATTTTCCCAAGGGGCCACATGGGAAACTCGTACTGTTGTGGAGGGCCAAACCAAATAGGGCTGCTGCCACGAGCCAGATAGGGACAGTCAAAGGACCAGATGTGGCCTATGGGCCATAGAATGCCCAGGTCTGGTCAAGTCTGTAGCTTCCTTACCTGTATATAAGATCACAAAATCAAATACCTTCCTATAACCACTAAAAATAATTGTACTAATTAGGCTCAGTTGAACATTGGCCATAGACTGTTAATATTATTTGATCGTACAAAATAACTCACTAAGGCCACTAAACATATTTTAAAGGTTTTTGAAGAAGCTAAGCATGTATTTTCTTTTTAGAACTGTGGTGAAATGTAGTATTGCCAAATCGCAAGCTCTTTATAGTGCCCAAAGAGGAGTGAAAACAAACAATGCTGCCATCTTCAAAGTAGGTGCTATCAGCATCAACATTCCTCAGCATCCAGCTACTCTTCACAGCATGATGGTTCGCAGTTCTCATCAGCTTTCAAAACAAATATCGGATCTCATCAGACAACCATCTGCAGTGTAAGTATCTATTTGTTTATTTATTTAATAAGTTTACATTCCCTCGCCTAGAGGTGTTGCAATTGGTACAGTCATACATGGAAACCGTTTAGAATATATGTTAATTGTATGTCCCATTTCTATAAATAGTACACAACCTCCCAAAGAAGATATTGCAACTCCACTACCTGCAGAAAAAACACCTACAAGTGTAAATCAGACTCCTATTGAAACAAATGAATTTCCACAATTGCCAGAAGGTTTGGAAAAGAAGCCGATAGTTCTTAAATTCAGTGCCATGATTGATGGAATTGCTATTGGAGCCGCACTCTTGCCTTCATTGAAAGCAGAGTACAAAATGGGAAGAATGCGAAGTCATGGAATGACGGGTAATTAATTTTGTTATTATATGAAGCATCTTAAAGTAACAGTCATAATTCCACTCAACTAAAATTCTAGTACATGCCACTGAGATTTGAAGAGCTCCTTCAGTTGGACATTTCCATGATTTTTTCTGCATTTAACAAGGGATTTTGTCTCCTTGTTTCACACCTGATGGTAAACTTCTCTGAGGCTCCTCAATTCAGAATTCTAACACAGAATAATTGATAAGCAACTTCATGTATTTAAAACTAGTCAGTTACAGTAGTTCTTTGGATCCTTTTTCTCGTATTAGATTGACTATAAATTTTAAGGTGCAGAAATTGGAAAATATTGTTAAAACATTAAAAATTTGGATTGTGCAGCATTTTTAATTTGAAGGGAGAAGATGCTTCAGGGGTAAGAACATAGCATTTTTCAGCCACCCCTTGAAGTAGTTTTTGACTTTTTCCAGGATCAAGGGCTACCCTCTGTAATCCCCAAACTAGGTATGCATGCTGCAAGAGCTGGCAGACAAATGTAATGTTTATACCACTGTGTCTTGCATTGCACATTTTTCCTTTAAATTAAAGGGCTGCACAAACTTATTAAAAGTATTTTCACACTGAGTATATATCATCTATTTTTGCAGTGTGTTATCTTTAAATATATACTCACAAATCCAAAGCAGCTTTGCTTGTTTCCTAGATGGTCTGTTTGAAACTTGAAAAATTTGAAATGACTGTCACTAGACAAGATATTATTCACAGTATTTTGGATTAGAATAGCTCTTCTGAATTTTAGGGTAGCCCTCCCACAGGAATGTACAAAAATTAGATAGTTTTCATGCTGTGTTAATTTATAATGCAGCTGGGGTTTCTTGGTTTTATGGAAAAAGAATCCATGTGCATTTGGAAGTAGTTCACTGTCTGTACTTAGAAAGTAAACCAGGAGATGGGAAATTATTTCTATAATCGCTGTACCTATAAGAGATTATCACACTGAGCTTACATATTTTTTCTTCCCCAGGTGCACAGACAAGATTTACATTTGAACTCCCAAATCACAAGTTACGATTCACTTCCAAAGTGTCTGCCACTGATATGTCTACCATACCTCCTTCAGCTAGTCTCAACCTCCCTCCTGTGACAATGTCAGGCAAATATATTATGGAGGAACATGATACTTACTCAGATCAAATATGGAGTATAGATGAACTGCCAGCTAAACAGGGCTATTATGTCCAGGGAAACTATTTGCGTTGTGTGGCTGAGGTTTGTATTACATTTCCTTTACAGATAGTCCTTGACATACGCTCACAATTGAACCTAACATTTTTGTTGCTAAACAAGACATTTCTGAAGTGAATTTTGCCTTTCTTGCCATAGTTTTTAAGCGAATTTTGCCTTTCTTGCCATAGTTGTTAAGTGAATCATTGCAGTTGTTTAAATGAGTAACACAGTTATTAAGTGAACCTTTGCATTCTGATTGCCTTTACTTGTCAGAAGGTTGCAAAAAATGATATAAAAGGTCACATAACCCCAGGACATAAATATGAACCTGTTGCAGAGTCCCTGAATTTTGATCATGTGACCAAAGGGATGTTGCAGTGGTCATAAGTGAGTAAAATGGTCATAGCTCACTTCAGTGCCATTGTAACTTTGAACAGTCACTAAACAAACTGTTCCAAGTTGAGGACTGTATCTGTGCTATCTCATTTTTTTATTTTTATTTTATCATAAGATAAAATACAAATAAAAACAAAAGTCAAGAAAGAGGCAAAGAAAAACTTTGGAGGGACCTTGGAGTCCTAGTGGACAATCACTTGACTATGAGCCAGCAGTGTGCAGCAGCAGCCAAAAAAGCTAATACAATCCTGTTGCATAAACAGAGGCATAGAATCAAGATCACGCGAGATATTAGTACCGCTGTATAAAACCTTAGTAAGACCACACCTGGAATACTTCAGCCAATTTTGGTCACCATATCACAAAAAAGATGTTGAGAGTTTGGAAAAAATTCAGAGAAGAGCAACTAAGATGATTAAAGGCCTGAGACTAAAACGTACGAAGAACGGCTGCAGGACTTGGGTTTGGCTAGTGTAAAGAAAAGAAGAAATAGGGGTAACATGATATCAGTAATCCAGTATTTGAGGGGCTGCCACCAAGAAGAGGGGATCACGTTATTCACCAAAGCACCAGAGGGCAGGACAAGAAACAATGGTTGGAAACTGATCAAAGAGAGAAGCAATCTGGAATTAAGGAGAAACTTCCTGACAGTGAGAACAATTAACTAGTGGAACAGCTTGCCTCCATCACTGGAGATTTTTAAGAAGAGGCTAGACAGTCACTTATCTGAGATGGTATAGGTATAGGACCTGCTTGAGCAGGGGGCTGGACTAGAAGACCTCCAAGGTCCCTTCCAGCTCTATTGTATTCTAAAAAGAAAAGATGCAAAAGTAAAGAAAGAAGAACAAAAAGCAGTGATGTCCAGTACAGTATAGTACCTTTTCTTTTTGCTTTACATTTTTAATTAATTCAGACTATTTCTATAACAAAGTCAATTTAACCATCAAAACCTTCCATTTTGAAGTCCAGAAGCAGTTAGAATCTCAAAAATTTGCATATTTTTAATTTGACAAAAAATTTCTTTTATGTTGTATCCTCAAAATGGTTGATTCATAGTTTTCTCCTAGTATTTTGTAAGTACCCAGTTGTTATAGACAAATATTTGGTATACCCCAAATTGTATCTTTTGAGTCCTTTTTAGTCTAAGCATATAGTACCACCTGGTTGACCATATCTAGGCTGGTAAACTAAATATGGTTGAGTCTGATCAGTACTTCAGTTGGAGACTTTGAGAAAATACTATGCCCATAAATGAGATATGGATGTTTAAAAATAATTTCCTCGTAGATAACAGTGTCAAATCACTCCTATATGTCTGCAAATAAAATTAAATAGTCTCAAAATTTCCCTTTTTCAACATCCAACATAATTCTTAATTTGAATTATTTAACAAAGTCATAATTACATTTCATGAATTAATATTTAAAACATGATCTTCTTTCTCCTAGGTGGGGTCCTTTGAGCATAACCTTTCAACAGATCTTTTGAACCATTTGGTTTTTGTGCAGAAAGTATTTATGAAAGAAGTCAATGAAGTAATACAGAAAGTCTCAGGTAGTCTAATGGCTTTAAACTTTTATTAAGCAACTTGATGGACTGACAGGAATGTTTCTTAGGCTATATTAAGCACAAATAAACTATTGTTTTAGTACTTTATAAATTGGACAGATAAAAACAAGTACTGAATGTATACCCCTTTAATGGAAATATTTTTTAAAGATCATGTAGTATTTGATGAGACCAATGAAATTAAAATTATTCTGGAATAGAATATAATTCCATAAAGGCCAGAATTAAGACTTATGACTTCTTGAATTTATTAATTTTTAAATCTCAGGTGTTTAATGTACTGCAGATGAACTGTGCATTTTTATTTTTCCATTTAGAAAAGAATATTGATTTTAATGCTGTTTGTTCCTAAATAAATGTATGAAGGATTGCAGTTATAATAGATCCATTCAGTTCTATTAAATTGAGTGTCATTTTATAAAGCTTTATGTGGACTAACTTAACAAATGTGAATAATTACTGCAAAAACAGCAATATATAATAAACCATTACATTTATTTTATAAATCAAACAAATAGTATTCAGAAAGCTGAGCATATTTTAGGGTAAGCAGCCAAACACTAACATTGCATAATCTGGGCTTCAACTATCAAAATAATATCTCCTTATTTTTGGTTCTAAATAATTACATTTGGGATGATTTTTCATTATAACCTTATGTTGTTTTGAAGATTATGGAATTTCTTCATTTCAGAAAATAAATTTATTTTAGGAGCAGACTTACTTGGCCTTTTATTCTATTTCTAAAGAGAAATCAGACTTTATAGCTGGGCTGGAATAGGATGTCAAATTTTATTCTTATGATCAGAAATAAAGGTGCATTAGGCATAATATAAATATTTACCCACACCACCATGCAGCTCATTGAAGGTTTTTTTTTAAATAATTGCATATAATTGTGTAGTTTGGCTTTTAAATATGATATCAAATATTTTTAATAACAAGATACAAACATTATGTGTACAATTGTCTAATTATATTTGTAGGAGGCGAACAACCTATTCCTCTTTGGAATGAACATGATGGAACAAGTGATGGAGAAAAACCAAAAATTCTCCTTTATTCTTTGAGTCTTCAATTTAAGGTATTTTTATTCTATTTGAATCTGGAGATTTATTTAGGTGTATTCCAACTGGGCCAAAGATAATTTTTAAAATCAAATTAACTATAGAATGAATTATATATGTGTGTGCAGGTGGGAATGTTATTTTATAAATGCCATTCAGTATCTCAAGTAGTTCCAACATCTTTGTAACTCAGGAACCAAGCCCATTTTACCTTTTACCTTTTCTTTACTAGGGAATCCAGGTAACAGCTACAACACCATCAATGTGGGCTGTACGCTTTGAAACAGGATTGATAGAACTGGAGCTTTCAAATAGAATACAAGCCAAAGCTATGCCTGGTGGCACCAGTTATTTGAAGCTTTTTGGTAAATGCCAAGTGGATTTAAATTTGGCTTTAGGACAGATTATTAAACATCAGGTTAGTGCTTACTATTAGTTTCTGTAATTACTGTTTCATAACCAATTGTGATATACTCTTCCCCCTCCCAAAGGTTTTTAAAAAAACATTAAAGCAGAGGGTGTCCAACCTTGGCAACGTTAAGACTTGTAGACTTTAATTCCCAGAATTCCCCAGACAGCTGGTTATGGAATTCTGGGAATTAAAGTCCACAAGTTTTAAAGTTGCCAAGGTTGGACACTTAAGTATTTAAGGCTCAGTCCAAAGAATTTATGTGAGAGGTAGAAAAGACTGTTTTTGTTTCAGGTCTTGAAACTGATTTCCACATAATATTAAACAAGTCTCCAATTCTTTAAAGAAAGAAATACAGGTTAACTCATAGATGTAATGTGTTTGTGAGGGGGACTCAAAATCCATGTACAGTGCATTCAGAAAGTATTCAGACCCCTTCACTTTTGTCAAATTTGTTGTGCTGTAGCCTGATTCTACAGTTGAAATTCATTATCATATTGGTATAAGTATTCAGAGCCTTCACTCAGTACTTTGTTGAAGCACCTTTGGCAGCAATTACAGCCTTGACTCTTTTTGGATATGACGTGACAAGCTTTGCACAACTGGATTGGGGGATTTTCTGCCATTCATCCTCTCAAGCTCAGTCAGGTCGGATGGTGACTGTCGGTGGACAGCCATTTTCAGATCCCTCCAAAGATGTTCAATATATGCTCAGTTTGACCGAGCGACCAGCTCTTGGAAGAGTCTTGGTTGTGCCAAACTTCTTCTATTTGAGAATTATGGAGACCACTGTGCTCTTAGGAAACTTCAGTGCAGCAGAAATTTTATTGTAGCCTTCCCCAGATCTGTGCCTTGCAATAATCTTGTCTCTAAGCTCTGCAGACAATTACTTTGATCTCATGGCTTTTGCTTTGCTACATTGCATTGTCAGCTGTGAGGCCTTCTACAGAGAGGTGTGTGCCCTTAAAAATCATGTCCAATCAATTTAATTTATCACAAGTCAACTCCAATCAAGGTGCAGGAACATGCCAGCAACGATCAAGAGAAATGGGAGGCACCTGAGCTGAATTTCAAGTGTTGTTGCAAGAGGCATGAATACTTATGCCAATATGATATTTCAGTTTTTTTCTTTTTAATAAATTTACAGACATTTCTAAAATTCTGTTTTCATTTTGTCATTATGTAGTACTGAGGAAAAAATGAATTTCAACAACTGTAGAATCAGGCTGCAGCATAACAAAATTGACAAAAGTGAAGGGGGTTTGAATATTTTCTGAATGCACTGTAAGTGTATAACAGACTGCCCTACGCTCTTCCCTTTTACTATTATATGTTTCTCTGTAAGATCTGACAAAGCTAAAGCACTTCGTATTTCCTTCATCTGATGGGATTTATAAAGTGTACATCAAAGCATTCCTGCCATTTGAAATTAGATTTCCTTAAAGATTTGAGCCACTCTGATCCTAGAAATTTGGATTTGATCTTAAAGGCATAACTCTTCCCCTAAATTTTGGGATAGAATGTGTCATGCCCATTGGGTTTGGCTTGGCTATGGCATGTCTCTCTCTTGTTATGTACAATTTCATGTTATTTTTTTCTTTGGGGCGTATAATATGGTTTGTAACTATACACACTGTCTATATAAAATGACTTACAAGTCTAAATTATTCTTAATTTAGATTTATACATTCAGTTATAAATTATAAATGTAACTGTTAATATCAGGTTTAGTTTTGCTATGTTCTAACATGAAATATGTTTTGAATATATAAAGGTATATGAAGAAGCTGGCTCCGACTTCCATCAAGTTGCTTACTTTAAAACTAGAATTGGATTAAGAAATGCCCTTAGAGAAGAAATCAATGGTTCGTCAGACCGAGAAGCTGTGCTTATTACTCTGAATAGGCCAATAGTTTTTGCTCAGCCTGTGGCCTTTGACAGAGGTACTAATGGGACTGAATCTCTTTTTATTTTATAAAAATAAAATAAAGGTAGACGTACCGGTAGATTTATTATCCATGGCTTTGATTATTCCCAATTTATAACTATAGACTTGAACATGTCTATGGTAAATGGCTTTGCACATTCTCAAATGTTGTCATGCAGTTCTAATATGTTCGTCATTTTGCCCAGAAACAGAAGCACACCTCTGGTTTCTCTCCGATCCAGCCCCATTTCTCAGCAATTCTGATAAACACCATTTCTTATGGTCGAAATAAGGGGATTAGCAAAACTATGAGCAGATGCAGTTTGATCAGCTTACAGGGAATCATCAACATTTCCCCACTCTTTCTAGTCCTCTGGATCAAAAGAACACTGGAAAACTAGATTTTGCCACCAAAACATAGTATATAAAAAGGCTTCATTTGAAAGTTAAGCACTTTTTGAAAATCCTGTGGTATAATTTGTAATAAATATAAGTAATGAAATCTTTGAGGTTTGTTTCATTATTTGCTGCAAGGACTGAAAGAAGGAAAAGTCCTGATCACTATATAGTTATCCCATTCATTGTATTTTGAATGATTTCCTCAATCATTTTCCAAGACTCTAGGAATGAACTCCCCAATTTCCCTAGACACAAAAGTCTTGTTAACCACAGTGTTGTCACATCTGTTTGCATGCTAGAAAGAACCTCCCATCAGCAGTGAGGCCTACTGTATACACAATGACATGACTGTATGGAAAGGATTCCGTTAATTTACATTAAAAACCCAGTTGTAGGAATTTTGCAACTTTGATTTGCTATAACATTTATTTACTTTGTCGTAGAACAGGATTTAGAAAGATTGATATCCTAAGGTTGTGTAGTGTGTTGGATTCAATTTCTAAAAGGTGCTTTAGAACTTAAAGGATCTGTTTCCATTATTGCATGATTATATTGGAAACTTCTGTGTGGTACCTATTTTTGGATTTTTGGAAAAAACACAACTCCTTTAATAGGTCATGGAGAGATGGTATATTTGTGCTTCTACCTGTTCCACAGTAAAATTCTTTCGGGGAGCAGAAACTGTTTATTTTTTTAAAAAAATCTAGAATCTTTGATCAAGAGTCAAAGGTCTAGCAATAGAAGATCGGCTTTTTCTGCCTTAAGTTTTTTATGGGACACATGAAGTACCCCTTTCCAGACTACCTAGTCTTAGTCGCATCAAAGCAAGTATGTTCCTATAGATTTTCTACCTTCTATTATATATATTATATATTATAAATATTATACTATTTTTCTTTCTATTTACTTCCTGCAACTTCAATTTTTTTCTTTTTATTCTTTTATTTGCAAATTTGTATTAATTTTTATTGGTATAAATTATATTTTTAATAAAATTTCTATAAAGAAAGAATAATTATAAAAACATAAATTAACATTCTGTAATATTTCCTTTTAAAAATAGTGAAAAATATATTTATTTGTTTACAAAGCTGTGCTATTTTGGCTGAATTACAAAGCTGCTTATGATAACTGGAATGAACAGAGAATGGCCTTGAATAAAGATGTTCATAGAGCTACAAAGGAAATTGTCGATATGTTACCAGGAATACAGCAGACATCTGCTCAAGCTTTTGGAACCCTTTTCCTCCAACTAACAGTTAATGACTTGGGAATATGTCTGCCAATTACAAATACACCACAGGTAATACTAAAGACAATTTTAGAACACCTATTTGAGTTGTTACTTCTTTTCAAATTAACAATTCTTAAAATTCTTGATCTTTTATTATTGCAGCAGCAAAGTACTTTGAAAAATTAAAAAAATAAAAACAAATAAATTACCTTGTAGCTAACAATTTGAAATAGTACTATAAAATGAATGTCCTGTTGGAGATCTTTTTAACTTCTTTGCTACTTACCAGAATGAAACTGTTATTTGAAAGCTAATGGAATTATTGTTTAAAATAAAGTGCAAAGGTTAAACATTTTTTAAAAAGCATATTTAGATTCTGTGATAAAATCTTCACAGGTTTGAAAATAATTCTTACTATTAATCTTTTGAACTTTGCATATAACTTGAATCTTTTCTATGTGACATGCATTACACACATACATGTATATATGTAGAAAAATGAATATACATAGCTAACATACTTTTGAATATTTATGGTAGTTTCCAATTTTCCAAATTTTTTGTTTCTTCTTAAATTGCATTGCTTATGACAAGTTTGATATAAATGTTTCATGTTCTTTTTCCTTATGTTTAATATAATGTAATTAAATCTTAATAGTGAAATGCTTACATATACCTCTTATTTTAGAATTAAAACTGTATTATATAGATTTGTGCTATTGTTTAACTATTATTTAAATCCCAATATTTTAAAAATACTTCTTAAAGCATGTTTATTTTTGACATGCTCATTGATAAAGAAGTATTTTTGTTCTAAGGGCAAGTTGTTAATTGAAAACCATTTATTTTAGAGTAATTCTAAATATGGTGTCTATAATGAAAAAAAGAGACTATAGGGATTGGGAAGAGAATTCTTAACTGTGAATACAATATTGAATTTTGATATTGAAATAAACAAATTTTACTGCTATAGTTATCTTTTCTTACTGCAGACAACCCACACAACTGACCTGGACACTGGTTCTGCATTAGTCTTGACAATTGAAAGCACTTTAATTACTGCCTGCTCTTCAGAATCCCTGGTCAGCAAAGGTCATTTTAAAAACTTCTGTATCCGCTTTGCTGATGGCTTTGAAACCAGCTGGGATGATTGGAAGCCAGAAATACGAGGAGAACTTGTGATGAATGCTTGTAAGCATTTTTCTTAGTAACTTGACTTTTTAGAACTTAAACATATATTCTAGGCTACAGTTTAAAGAGTTCACATGAATTTCATAATATAGCATCACAGAAAAATAGGTCTTTGTAAATAACTACAAAACTGGAAATTTCAATAAGAATTTGCCAAGCATTATATTTCTGCAAATCAATGGCTTATAAGTTTGAGAAGTACAATACATTTAATTCAAATTTAGTTTAAATGATTATTCGCATATAATTTAAAACAAAACTTTGGTATACTGGTATCTCAATTATATTCTTCATTCTTTAGGTGTAGTACCAGATGCTTGTACATATATAATTTAAAACAAACCTTTGGTATACTGGTATGTCCATTATGTTCTATATTCTTCATTCTTTAGGTGTTGTACCAGATGGCACCTATGAAGTGTGTTCAAGGACAACTGGGCAAGCAGCTGCAGGTAAGATTTACTCTAAATTTGCTTCTATATTGGCAGAATTTTACAAATGTTGTCTTACTATTCTTTTTCAAATCAACCTTGATAATGATGAACAAGTATATTTTTCTAGCATGTACTATCCTATCTCACTGTTTAAATTAAGAGAATTACATTCAACAACAACAAACGTATTGCCAGATTTCACACCAGGGTTTGGTAGTAAATTTTAGCTCTCCAGACATTTAATCATTTTGACAGCAGAAAACTCTCACATCTGAAGTTTTATTGCAAGCAAGAGTGAAGCTTGAAAGACTTGTTTGCCCAACACGATGCAAAGAAATTGGAGCCTTTATATACACCCATACTTCAGAATTTAAACTTCAATTTTTACTCATAACTTTACAAGTTAACAGATATTCAGTTGGTCTCTGGGTGGCCTGGAGTCAACAAGTACATAATGCTTCCCTATAGCCTGGGATCCCCAGTTTCTGTCTTGTCAGTCTCAGTCTTACTTTTTTGATTCTTAATAGTAAGTAATATATAATTTTAACAAATGATTCTGGACACTATAGAATATCATGGCACATTTTAGCATAATTTCTGTTCATCATATGAGAATGGTGTATTATAGAGATATGAGGTCAACTTTAAGAAGAGATTATTACATTTGCTTAATTCTCTATTTGAAGGATCTTGTAGGTCCATCCTTTTCTTTATGGTTTTTCTTTCCTGTGTATTAGCAAAAAAAGAGTTCAAACCATTCTTTGTGGTTTGGTTTAAAAATTGTTCATATATTTCTTAGCATATCTGGTACGTAAGATAAAGATTGTCTTAAAAGGATTTATGCAACACCCTATCTTAGTTTTGCATGCTCCAGTTTTTAATTTTTGAAAATCATAATCCTGATACATTTCTCCATTTTCTGTTGAAACAGAGAGTAACAGTGCTGGAACATGGACTCTTAATGTGCTGTGGAAGATGTGTGGCATTGATGTACACATGGATCCTAACATTGGGAAAAGATTAAATGCTTTAGGAAATACTCTCACAACTTTGACAGGGGAAGAAGATTTAGATGACATTGCTGATTTGAACTCTGTTAATATAGCTGACCTATCTGATGAAGATGAAATTGATACAATGTCCCCCACTGTTAGCATGGTCAGTGAATTAATCATCCATTCATTCATTTATTACGTTAACAATAAAAACAAGTAATATATTATGCAACTCAGCAATAGTGCATAATTATGCAAACTTTAGGCTGTCATACCCTTTTCTATACGTGTTATCACAGAATAGTGTTAATCACTAAAGTGCTAGTTATATTTAGCAGAGCTGAAGTTTTATTTGTTAACTAAAAAACAAAGAACTTGGTTTCTTGCTGGTAACTTACATTATCCAAATAGAATTCTTACATTTTTGTGTAATAACTTTGCAAATACCATTCACAAACCTTTGGAAATTGTTACTAGCTTCAAAATACGAAGTGATATTTAAGGAAAACAAATCTAAAGTACCCTGGATTTCCAGAACTAGATTTGCAGTAGTTATCTGGTGAAAGATAAACATTGTGAATTCATAGTTAGTTGACATTAGCTCAGTTTGCTTATCCAGGATAGTATAAATTCAAATTAATTGACCATTTTGAATTATGACAAATAGTAGCTCTGATCACAAAATAGGAGATGGAAAGCAAGTCACACTGACAGCATGAAGTTAGGAAATAGATAGTAGCCTATTTAGGCGATACCTGAATACAATCTAATGAGGATGTTTGAAATAATAGTACAGGCAGAGAAGGGGCAGACAATAAGAAAAATGGAAGTTTCATTTCCTGAAGTATTAATCTTGCTATTTATTATCATCTAGAGATCAGATGGTGGTTCTTTATATGGAGACATATGCAAGCTCACTTTGGGGCAGCGGATTGTAAATCACCTCTTGGGTTTGAGCCCCAAAAGTCAACGTTACTCTGTTCCTGTAGAATATCTGGTGGGATCAGCATCAAGTTATACGACTTATTCTAACAGTGCACACTTACAAGTGGGCAGGTCTTGCTCATGGGGACATGTATGTAGTATGTGTAGTATCTCTTTAAACAAATGCTGAATATATGGGTATTGGCAAATCAAAAATCAGCTGGCTTCTTAGTCTGATTCTGCATGCTATTTTGATTGGTGGTGCTAAACCTCTTCTGTCTTCATTTTCGTCATTAAAACTGCTTGTGGGCAATGAAATAAATGCTTCCTTTATTTTTTAAATAGGAGAATGCTGACCATCGGAGGCAAGGACCCTCTAATAATCAAACTGGAGAACAAAGAGGAAGAAAGTATGTGAAGCGCTTAGTAGATATCAGGGAGTTGAATGAACAGGCTAAAGTAATTGATGACTTAAGGTAAGTATGCTGTTTCCAAACAACTTTTTACAATCAGAATAAATCATTGTTTATCTTTATTTTACAAAGATTTAATTAAGAGACTCTCAATTTGTGGGTCAACCCCCCCCCCCAGCAGTTTTAAACTGAGGAGTTACATTTTTTTGGTAAAGCTAATCAGAGTTCAATAGGCAAGTAGGAATGGTGTGAAAACTGACTCCCATTTTGCCTGCATGAACTCTGGGCAAGTCTTAACAATGTGCCAACTTTACCTGTGTAAGAAGTGAGAGGAATGTCAAAACCTGCTCCTGCTTTGCCCACATAAGCCTACAGTGAAGTGACCCTAGAAAAGTGTGAACACGCTGTCAAAATTTGCTAGACTCTTTGTTCCACATTTGCCTGTGCAAATCCCAATCATTTTTGTGAGTAGCTAATTCCGTGGGATGCACAAGGGTCCTAATATAAATGACAGTTTCCCACTAGTTGTTAGTGAGTTTCAATGTGGTGTATAGTAGTATAATTTTTATTGGAGTGCCTATGGAAGTGCACATTAATGAATTTTTTGTTAATTTTTTCTTATTTCTAGCTTTTCAAAAAGCAAGATTTTGATTAGGGGGAAAAATATCTAAAAATCAGTCTCTATGTATTACTGATAAAATAAGCTTAAGACAGTTAAGATATAAATTCTGTGCATTTTAGAATGTAATGTATTTAGCTGTTGCCCAACATTAATTCTAGTGAACTTTTAGATATATTATTGAGGGCTTGGGGTTTTTTCCCCCAGAGATTGTTGCTCAATTTAAGAACTTGTGTTTTAATTAGTGGTGCCTGACAGAATTCTTTTTTCAATTTATACCCTCTGCTAAAAATTACAGGTCATTATAAATCCCTTAATCTACTTTGGCAAATATATTTTGCCAATATATTTCATGGCTATCAAGTTACCCAAAGTGCTTTGCATAATTGTTTTTTTTTATGGCCACTGTGCAAGACAGGGGTGTCACAGTTGCAGCGTCACACGATGTGTCGCGATGTATCGTGACTTTTTTGCCATTGCCGGCAAAGGAATGGCTGCAGTTTTGTTATGATGCATCTGGCCGACGGGCTGGCAGTTTGACACCCCTGGTGCAAGAGAAAGAGAAGACCTCTGCAAATAAGCCATCATTCTTAATAAATACTCTTGAATGATTGATTGCGGGATTTTATTTATCAATCTTGTCTTTAGGAAACTGGGTGCAAGTGAAGGAACAATAAATCAAGAAATTCAACGATACCAACAATTGGAGTCAGTAGCTGTCAATGACATTCGCCGAGATGTCCGTAAAAAGCTACGGAGGTCAAGTATGAGGGTGAGCAATTTTTAAGTTCCTTTTCAGTCATATCAGTTCTGTTTTCATATTATTAAAAATAGATAGAACATAGTCACATATGCCAAAAACAAGCTTTATGGGCCCTTAATTTTTTTTTTTTTTTTTTTTTTAGATATTGGTGGGACATCATTCAGTACAGAGATTTTTTTAAAAACAAAGTTACTTTTAAATCCACTTCCATCTAGCTTGAAGTAATCTCCTTCTCCATTAATTCTCCATCAACCTTCCTAACATTCTCTAAAGGCTTTTCAAAGATAGCAAAATATTTCAAGGCAAGAAGAAAAAAGTTAATTCTATCTATTGTTGTCTGCTTGTACAGTGTTTTGTTTTCAGCTCCCAAGTCTCTAACAAGTTTACAGTATATACTATTCCTATAACTGCTCAGGGCTTTATATTGGGTTCATAGAAATCCCAATGGTATTTAAGTCTGCTTATTTCTGGATTGCAACTATTTAGTCTTGTGCAATCCTTTTTGTGTGACTCTTAATGTTTTGTTTGCCAAATTTTTGAACTATGCAAGAATGTCAGATTAAAATGTGAGAATAATATGCTTTGTATATCTCAGGCAGCATCTTTGAAAGATAAATGGGGCTTAGGTTATAAGCCCAGCTATAGTCGATCTAAAGGCATTTCAGCTTCAGGAAGACCACCTCTGAAGAGAATGGACAGAACAAGGTAAGATGGGATAAGTGGTTTTTTTACACCAGAAATATGTTTTGATTTCTGAGTATATGCAATGGGAAAACTTATAAAATAGTTGTTATGAAGACTGTGGCCAGTCATAAGTCATCTATTGCGAGAAAGTAAGCTACATGCAAGATATTTTATATCATCCCATTAAACCCTTGTGAGCCTAAAGGCCTTCATAGAAATAATTATGAATCTTTCTTTTGCAGCATATCCTGTTTAATTATTCCTGTTTAATGTTTTTTATGTAATTCAATTTGTTAAAAAATGAGGATTCTTAAATCCCATTGGAGGTACTGTACTTCCCTTGGCTATCACTTTGCCAGCTCTAGAGATACAGTGATTTCAAATATATGCTAATATATGAAAAGAGTCACATCCTTTAAATCCCATGCTTTCTTTTTAGTTTTTTTTTTTTTTAAATATTTGAATAGTTGCTTAAAGTATGTTCAGGTTTACGTGTATTTAATTTTCCCCATTAGTATGACAACAACTATAACTGAGAAATGGGGAGCTTTGGGGGAGGGAGGAATCATATTTTGCCTTCTTCCTTCAATGGAAATTGTTGAAAGCTAAATAATTCCTAACTGCATAATACCATTTCTTCATCTGCACAGCTTCTTCCTAAATTGTACAGGTAGTCCTCAACCTACGACCACAATGGAGCCCAAATTTATGTTGATAGTGAGACATTTGTTAAGTGAGTTTTGCCACATTTTACGACCTTTCTTGCAGCAGTTGTTAAGTGAATCGTCGCATTCAATAAGTTAGCAGCATGGTTGTTAAGTGAATCTAGCTTCCCCATTGATTTTGCTTAGCAGAAGGTCACAAGAAGTAATCACATGACCTTGGGACAGAGCAGCAATCATAAATTTGAACCAGTTGCCAAGCATCTGAATTCTGATCACATGACTGTGGGGATGCTGCAAAGTTTGTAACTGAAAAAGGGACATAAGTCACTTTTTTCAATGCCGTTGTAACTTTGGTCACTAAATGAACTGTTGTAAGTCGAGGACTATCTGTATTTTGGAATCCTAACAATGTTTAATGACTATATTCGTAAAATGCAAGTGCTTTACTCAGCTTTTTGTTTATATGGTTTGTAACTGCTCAAATAAATTTTACTGCAGTAGATCTTATAGTCCTTTAATTTTCATACATTTGTAATTTTTCATATTAAAATGAAATGCATTTTGCATGCAATTAAAGTATGAAACATATTTAAATTTGCTAGCATCTATTTAGTGTTTTTTGTTTCAAGTTATCACTTTTACATTGGAAAACTGTTCCAAAATAATATTTTAAATGCTGATTTTTAAATTTGGAAGTAATTGGTAATTATAATGTATATGATTATTTGCAAATATCATAATTCCTTGTTACTGTAATTTTGTTGTACAAGGCTTGGGGAAAGTGAAGAAGTTCCAGAAATTTGTGTTGATGGGCCATCTGCTGGGTCCAGAGTAATTTTCAACCTACAAGATATGGTAAGACAATTTCTAAGTTGTTCACTGAATGCTTTGGGTAAACTTGCATTATGAACTAAGAGGTAATTTCCTTTTATTTGTGCCAGTGTCATATATTTACACACACAAAACACACACGCACAAACACGGATTGTAGAATTGGAAGATGCCTCTAGAACATCTACTCTTAAACCCCTGCTTGATTCATAATCTGCTAAAGCATTTTTGGCAAATGTGTATCTGTCTGTTTGAAAATCTATAGTGAAACCCAACATACTATTTAATGAAGCAGCCTACTCCACTAAGTGAGCCTTTTTACTGTCAGGTAATTCATTTCAATATCTAATCTGAATCTTCTTCCCTCTAGTTTAAACTCATTAATTGTAGTCCATCCCTCATGTTAATGGACAGCAAACCTACTCCTGTGCAACAACCCTTTAGCTATATGAAAACTGCTGTCCTATCCTGTGTTAGCCTTCTGCTTTGCAGGCTAAACATGCCTTCATAGGACTTGGTTTACCATCCCTTCACTATGTCGTAGCCTTTGCTGTAATTTCACTTGAATTCATCAATCTTTGTCAGATGTAAGTGTGATCTATCAGAATCTTTGGATTGCTTGCCACATTTACTATTTCTGAGCCAGAACTGACCCATCCTGCACTTGTGCCTTTCTAGTCACTTTTTAAATGTTAGCTGCTGCAAATTTGATATTCTTGGATTAAAGAATTGATAGGAATACCCAGTTCCTTAATCTAGGTCTTTAATAAAAAATATTGAAACAGCAGAGCCCAGGGTTATATACCGTGTTGTTTTAATAATTTCTCTTTTTCGTTTTTAATTAAGTTGAATGGAACAGTTTTGGGGATTGCACAACAATCCAGCTATCCAAGGGAAGGGTATTTTCAGGTATTTGTAAAATCAACAGGTATACTAATTAACTGCATGGAAATCTGCTTCATTGATCATATTCTGCCAGCTAAGCAGAGCACATTATAATACATTAGGTCACAATTGGCAGTATTATAGTAATTCAGTATTTCTTGTTATTTTGGAGTGAGAGTATTCATCAATGTACCGAGGGACTACCCCTTGGTACATTGATAAATATTCTCATTCCAAAACTATTTTTAACAGTTTTTGAATGATAAAACTTTTACATCAGAAACAGTTAACTTGCACAATAGAAGCTAATTGGAACCTTGCAAAATAATAAAAAAAATAGTATACTACTGGCAAATCATTTTGGTTGATACAACCACTGATATTTCAATAGCAGCTATTACTTTATATTTTCTAACTGATTTGTCCAAGAATATAAATATAACAAAAAGAGTATTACTGAAATTAATTGCTTCCAATTACGAAATTAATTTTAAAATATTTAGATTAAATTCAGATATAATCAGTTGACACCACATTAAGGCACTGTTAATTGTTGTTATATTCCCTACTCTACTATATTT